GTCCTGCCTGTGTGGCAGGAAGGGGGCTGGGGTGGACGCGCTCTGTTGCTCCGGCGGGGCGGCTCAGGCATTGCTCTGTTGTGCCATACAGATCCTGAACCTGACTCAGGCGCTGAAAGACGGGAAGAGCCCCCTACACCTGGTTCAGATGCCGCCTGTGATTGTGGAAACGGCGCGTTCCCACCAGCGCACCTCCAGCGAGTCCTACACGCAGAGCTTCCAGAGCCGGAAGCCTTTCTTCTCATGGTGGTAGCTGTGGGAGCCGCGGGCAGGGCTTGGCCGCCTCGGACTAGCACTGCGAGAGGAGCCGGGCCACTGCTGGCTCTTGCGGCCGGGACTCGACCTTCTGGGTAGAGTGAGCAGGTGTGGCTGGAGGAACCTGCAGCTGAACTAGAGGAGCCAGGCAGGTCGGGCACGGTCCCTCCCTAGCTCTGTCGGAGCTCGGTGCCCTGCCTGGGGCAGGGCCCAGGGGGAGGCGTGGGAATCCGCTGGGAGCCGTGGTGTGGCTGGAACCCTGCCCCTGCCTGCCTCCCTCGGCCTGCATGCGGTTCTGAGCACCCCTGCTTGGGGCTGGGATGAGCAGGCTGCCTGGGCCAGGATCCGTCCAGCCCTTTACACCAGCCACTGGCCCTTTTCTTCCCCGCCGTGCCTGCTGCCGGGCTGGGAAGGCCTGTAGCGGGTTATACCCTCTCCCTTTCCCCGAGGGTGTGCTGTACTCCTCCACTGTCCCTCCTCTGCCCCAATCCTGTGCACGCTGCTTTCCTCAGGGGGAGTTCCTGCTGCCCGCTGGCGCAGCGGGGACCACAATGAACGGCTGTTCTCTGGCTGGGGGCTCAAGGAGGGGACACATGAGGGACAACTCACAGGGCTGGCTTGGGTGCAGTTAGACACTAAGGGGAAAGAGGTGCTGGCTTGTCCTTGTGAATGGCAGCTGGCTCTGGGAGGGGCTGTAGCTTAGTGCCCCCCCCTCAGCTGGAGAGGGCCGAGGGTGGGTGGGAGCACCCTCTCCCTGTCTCTGCTGCCCCCGTCCATCCCTCCTGCCACGCCTCCGC